CATTCACATGATATCCACCCAAGAGTCTATGTTTAAAATAATAAAAGAAAAACTTTGAAAGCTTTCAGATATTATAAAGCCCAAATGGGCATATCTTTCATTCGTTTTGAGAGCATTTGGGCTAATGCCACGTTCTTTCAAAAACATTTAAAAATAGCATGTCTTTAGAATTTCTAATAGACAGTCTCATGCACTGGAGATAATGATGTTTTATTCCTTACAGCATTGCCACTTCTCACTTCCAAATTAATGAGTTTTTTAATCGAAAATTCATTAAAGTTTTACTAACTATGAAATAGACAATAAAACAAGTTCCAAAGTCGGTCTTTCAGGTTCCCATGTTTTGGTGGAAGATTATGTTATTCAAAATTTGATGACTATAGATACTTTTTCTTTACAGATCAAGAAACATGTATACATTCATGTAGATTCTTCACATCACAGAGACATCTGTATATTTCGCAAAATAAAACTAATAGTGTTAATTAGATATCATGATTTTATTATTCTGTTATATTTTGCTTTCTCTTATAAACATGTGGACATGATACCATGTTCTTTTCTTTTCCTTCAAATGGTATCTTAGAACTTAGGCGTTAAATAAATCGACAATCATAACATTAATTTTAAGTATTGTGAGAAACCTAACATTATTGTTGAAAATAATGTATGCAAAAAGGGGCCATTTCCTTTTTTTAAGAAAATGAGTCCATATGTGGATTACTGGTAAAGGCATATTACCTGAAATTTTTTAATCCAGTGCTCAAACACTTGCATTTTAATCATTCATTGAGAATCAGCAGACCTGTTGGTTATTTAGCTGTCTGTTTGTAAAGCAGTTTGCCCAAAATGTAGCCAAGGCCAGTGTAATCAGTATGGCTGCACTGGGCAGCAAAACGCACAGAATTCAACTTTTAGAATCTTGAGAATTCTTGGGGCAACATAATATAGCAGCCATAAAGTACTGAGCCATTGGGTGACAAAAAAATCTAGGGTTCAGCCTGGATTAACCACAGGGAAGAATCAGTATCATTAACGGAAGACAGAAAAGTCAACTGCAAAAATCCATACCTTCTTCATAATTCAAATGCAAACCCAATAGCGTCGCAGCCAGCTCTACAAACCATTATACCAAAGACTGTGGCATATCTGAAAGAGTCTGGTGAAAGAAATTAAGAGAATTTTCATATTTGATCTACGATCTCCAGAACTACTGGACAGATTTTAATGAAATTTGGTGTGAACATAGGTTGATATAATATAAACCGTACTTTCATATGGTACGGATTCTCGCCGTACCATATGAAAGTACGGCGAGAATCGCTGTTTAGGCTAAAACGGGACTAGCTCATTGCTCCGTACTCCAATCACTATGCTACCTGCACCATGCTAATCGGACTCTCCTGTCCGTAGAGGTAGGAGCGGGACGGAAACAGCTGGTCTTCTGTCAAACAACCCTCTCCCATTCAGTCTTTTGGAAGCAGTAACACATGTTACACGGGTTTCTGTGGCTGCATACAGGTCCCGAGAGAGCTGAAAAGATGCATCCCCTCTGTTACGCCTCGCTAAAGTGAACAAATAACGATCTTCTCTGGCCGTCGTGACTCTTGGATGACCTTGCCCAGGCTTTCTCTCGATGGATCCAGTATCCTGGAACTGTTTCCATAGGTTACACACGATAGTGGGCGTTAAATTAAACTCTCACTCTCTACATATCTGGACTTGCGATTGGCCTGCCTCTAGCCTCCCCACAATTCGCCACTTCATTCCATCATCTAACGTTGGTGGTTACTCATTTTTACTGTTCAGGTATGAATTTAACCGAGTACTGCAAGATGTTATGTATTAATTGCTATTTTTTTTTTCAAGCTTAAGTTTTCCTTACTATTTCAGTTTTAATCTGTAATTGAAGTTCTAATTTTTTTTTCTTTAGTTATTTAAAGTTGGTTGTAAGTTTAAACAGTAACTTTTGTAAACTTTAAAATTAAGGTTTGGTTGCTTTAAAAGTTTTCTTAAGTTCAAGTTGTTTAGTTTTGGGACTTAAGTTTACTTGTTTTGACCCTTAAGGTTGTTTAATTTTTAACTTTAATTATTTTAAAGTTTTGTTGCTGCCCCATTAGTGTATTTATTTTTTTTAACTTATGTTAACTTAATTTTTTTACCCCTCTTTCTATTAAAGTTGTCGAATACATATTTTCTGACTGGGGGTAAGGTGAATCAATAGTAATTGTAATCTGGGTTATGAGTGTTTATACTTAAAATGCTGCTGAAGAAACAATTTATATAGTGCTGACTTTTTTTATTCCAAATATTGTTATATCAATATCACATAACATAATTTCAAATGTATTATTTACTACTTAATATCATTCTGTGTGATTTCTATAATCAATGTTCATACCAAATTTTGTGGTAGGTAAATGTGAATATATGGGTAACATAACAAAAACATTTCAACCAATATTGTATCCATCACATAACATAGGAGTTTGAGTAGTTATCTTAGTGTAACATAAAAAAATAAACAATTCTAAATTTCAGGAAGTTGCGTTGAGTGACATAATGTCGGGCAATAACCCGTTCAAAAGCTATGGTCCAGTGCAAAGTCAAATAATTACAAGGCTAAATAGGTAAAATCAATCTAACGTTTATTAAGGATAAAATAGTAAGAATACAGTTGCATTTTAAAATAGTGGGGATCGGTCATCCTTATATCTGAAGAAACAACTGAAGTTTACATACCTTCTTTATAAATTTAACAATTCACCGTTCCCGTTTGGGGGCCATCATACAAAATTTTGGGTACTTGATACAGGCGAAAAACTCGGACAGATTCTGTCACGATGCAAGTAATAATAGTTAGTCGTCTGAAGATACTTCTGCAAGAAAGAAAATTAAAAAACAGTATGAGAATTAGTAATGGGCACAACTTTCGGAGGCCAGGCTTTCCACCCCACAGCCGCTTCCAACCGGTAGGACTCCGGTCTTCCCCGAAACACCGGCCATACTGAAGTCTATAAAACTCAGGAATTCTTGATTCAATATGTCTTTCTTCTGTGTAGGTTGTTTAATCGTTTATCTCACCAGGAACTTCGAACTGCTGGTCTCCGCTCTGCATCTTAGAAGTCATCTCTCGTTCCTTTTCTTCGAGAAAGTCTCCTTGGCTCCGTCAGAAAGAAAAGCGTGTAATCGAAAATGTTTTCTTCGTCTTCCCTCTCGAAAACAACTGCGCATCCATTTTAATAGCTGGCGCGTTTTTTGAAAATTTGGCGTAGAACGTGATCAGCAGGAAGCCAAGTCCAGCAACCCAAACAGAGAGTTCTTCACGGGAAGAGGTTTCCCGACTACCAGAAGAGCCAGTTAGCACAATTCAATCATTCAGCCTCCAAGGCCACACCAATGTGTCAACAATCTCCGCAGACGAGACCAAGGGGGGATATCTAGCCTCGCATCGAGGTCCAAGTCGACCATGTAGAGCTTCCTACCCAAAGATTATTTCCCCCTTCACAAAATACGCTGTAGAACCTTTCCCTGCTCGCCTATCCAGCAAAACAGGGTCCTCTTTAAAGGAAACTCCAGATGGTGAATACATCCAACACGTCATCCGCATATATGGTTTTTCGTGATTGCGAAAGAATTTCGGGGTGCAGTAATCCTCTGATAAGGGATTCTGAGAATGGATTCCAAGCCGACGGTTGAGAAGTGAAAATTTTCAGAACCAAGTCAACACAAATGACTTTGGGGAATTAAAATTAACTATTAATTACCTAACAATATAATTCATAAAAAAAGGCAGCACTATATAAATTGTTTCTTCAGCAGCATTTTGAGTATTAAAATTAATTAAATGTGGATAAAACACTCATAACATAACACTCATAACCCAGATTGAATACAATTACTTTTGATTTACCTTACCGCCAGTCAGAAAATATGTATTCGACAACTTTAATAGAAAGAGGGGTAACAAAAAATTAAGTTAACATAAGTTAAAAAAAATAAACACGCTAAAAGGTGCAGCAACAAAACTTTAAAATAATTAAAGTTAAAAATTAAACAACCTTAAGGGTCAAAACAAGTAAACTTAAGTCTCTAAATTCAAAATAAAACTAAACAACGTCAACTTAAGAAAACTTTTAACGCAACCAAACCTTAATTTTAAAGTTTACAAAAGTTACAGTTTAAACGTACAACCAACTTTAAACAACTAAAGCAACAAAAAAAAAATTTTAGAACTTCAATTACAGATCAAAACTGAAATAGTAAGCAAAACTTAAGCTTGAAAGAAAAATAGCAATTAATACATAACAAAGATAACACCAAAAAAATTCGCCGAGGTGTGCTAGCAAACGCAATTCGTCTTACCCTCCACACGCTTATAAAGCCTGTTTTCTGCTGTCCCCGTTTACACACACGTTACGCTTACGTATTTGCCGTACAAGATTTGCATTTTTATCTAGAAGCAGTGGTTTTTCCTCATGTTCAGTTCTTTTCAAGCAATTCGATAAAATATGCAAATTCTCTTAATTTATTTCATAAGTGTATTTTAGTCCACTGTATTTAGTCACTATAATTTAGATAAGTATCGTGTGGTATATTATTTTTTTTTTGTTAATATGCTTTTAAACTGTAAGTATTCTCTATAATGTTGGTTATTATTACATAATGTTGGTTAATGGTTATTTCTCATTTAATTAAAAATTTCCACATTTAATTAATTTTAATCTTTTTGGAATAGGATAATGCTCTGAGGCATTAAATCAAGCACTGATTTTTATGTACACTATGCTGATTTATTGTCTTTTGTTGTATTCAAGGGTTAAACTGCATATTTTTGTGCTTTAAATAATATTAATGATGGAATTTTTACATAATGTGAAAATTGTTTCATTTCATCATTATTCTCATTAAATGCCTTTAAAACTGCATATATAAAAAAATTACTAAAATTTATTTACTTGTAATTGTACCAAATGAAAATTAATTTTGCACTTTTTTAGAGCCATTTGCCAAGCAAGTTGAAGACTCTAAAGACATGACACTTCCTGCTGTTATACGTTGTATCTATACCAGGTCAGGAGAAAATTCATTCATCAGATATATTTTTTAATTAATCACTTTTATTTAGTTTTTGAGATTTTTTAAATTAAAATATAATGACTTTCTAATTATTAGCAGCAACAACATATCCCATAATTTTTCATTTACCCTCTGATCTTTAAATAAACATGTAAAATGGATGAAGGCCAACATCACTGTAAAAACTTTAGAGTAAAAGTTGAAGTTTAAGCAGAATTTTTGCATTATATTTTTCCATATTTGGCTTTAATATTATCACCTAAATTTAAGAATTAATATTCTTCATATTCTAATGTGTGAACTAGCTGTTGTGTAAATTTGTATGTCCCCCCTCCCCATTATAACATAAATATAAGACAATTTTCCTGTGAAAATTCTTCACAAAGGTATCCCTTCACTTATATTGATAGTAATTATCAGTAAATTACCCAATCACAACCTGTTATAAGTGTCTTTGTATATGAATAATCGAACTTTTTACACTAACTTGTTTTATTTCTAACAGGTGGCCTCATGCTTCTATTGAATCAGAAAATATAGATTCCTAGTTTGGAGAATGGACTATTATTTTTTATAAACACCATGATAATAAATTTAATATTTAAAAAATGATATTGAGATTTTATTGCGTACATAAATTTTTATTTCTGGTAGACTATTTCTACAATACCTGGTCATTTTATCTAATTATGCTAGTCATTTATTATATATTTAGAATAGTTATTTATGTATAATTGTAGCTCACTAAAGAAATTGCTTTTTATTGTAATACATGAATTTTTTGTTCGATATTTATGCTTTTTATACTATCTTTTTTTAATACTTTCTGTACTGTTACGTCAATCGGCAGTGAAATTAAAATACACCTTTTAAATTTTTCTACTGAACAGTAAATAATAATACTTCTTTTCTAAATTTCTGAGATCACATTTTATCTTAATCATATATTTCTATTTAATCATGTATTCTATTTTATTTCTATTTTATTAACTACTAAATTCTCTACAGAATTTAGTAATTTTAGTTGACAAGTGTTCTGCATGTAACTGTTTTGCATCAATCCAAGTGTTCTGCAAATATCCTGTAAACTATATTTATATTTTCTGGTCTTATGAAGTAAAATTATCTTTTCAGCATTTCATAGTGGTATTTTATAAGCTGTTAACATAATTTTTTGTTTTCTGATAGAGCAAGTTTCGCATTCGTATTTAAAAAAATAAAGAATGAGATACTTTCAAATTCCTGAAATGCTTGCTCTAATAGACATGAAATAATTAGATCTAGGTCATTATGTCCATCTAGGTACAAATATTTTATTACCTTTATTACTGAAATCATAATAATTTAATTTTATTATAATTTAATCATTTAATTTTAATCACAATAATAATAATCTGTGACTATAATCTGCATCACTCTAATCATTACAATCTATGACTTTCTTAATGCATTCATCTAAAGAACGTATCTAATTAAAAAAAAAAATCATTTAATAAAGTCTTACAGGAAAATGTTGAACTTTCCAATAAAACCATTTCTTTATAGTCTGTATTTTTTTTTTTTTTTTTTTCGTATTTCTTCTTTATAAATTTATTATTAGTAATGGATTTTCTGCACTCGCGTTATTACTTAGAATGCAGGGTAAAATCTTGCTTTTTTAACTTTTTTGTTCATTCATATCAACATGCTTTATTAATTGATAAAATGCGTTTTAACATTAAACCAAATTTCATCAAAAAACACTCCCTCTCTCTGTTTCGTATTGACGAAATATTGTATTGTCATTCATTTGGAGATTTCAGTAACACCAATTCATTTATCGTTGATTGTGGACATATTTCTTGCCTCGGTATGAGACTTTTTCTTACATTTCCTTAAATGAAAACATGATTAATATTCTCCAAAAGATTCCGGATTATGCCATCAAGTCCAGGTTATATAATTAGTCTTTAATATATTGCATGAAGGTGCTGTAGAAGTCATACATGGAGTCAAAATAATCCTTCTTAGTAACATGATCTTCATCAGTTAACCTATATTACAAAGATTCTTGATTTGATAGTATGAAATTTTATCTTTCGTTAACTTAAATTTCTTTAAAAAGTTGCCTGTGAGAGTATTTTCTGTCTATCTATGATGTTTATTTGGGAATAAAATAATTAAAGTAGTATTCAAAGGGCATCGCCAAGAATTTTAATTGTGGATGATGTCAAATTTTATAAATTAATGGACGGCTTGTCAAGTGCAAAATACAAGTTTCGATAGCTCTTGCATTTTATTATCCTTTTCAAAGTAGGAACTAGAGACAGCCACTTTGTTTTAGATTTCCAAAATCGTTTTATATTCAATAAGTATAAATTTGCAAAATTCTTGAGAAATGTTTAGCCTAAAAGCATATATGAAAATACCGGTGATTTTTCATATCACTGGTTGGATATCAACCAGTGATATGAAAATTTATCAGTGAAAATGTGGATGGGGAATTAAATTTAAATCTGCAGTTAAAATTCGAAGAACAGAAAACACATGTTATGTTTTATATATAGACAAAGGCAAACACTAACACAGTTTAGATACTACATGGGCATCGTTAAATGCATATCCGGTAGAATTTATTCAAAATTCACATAGAAGATCTACTAGAAAATCGTGAAAGGGTGGAGACAGAAAGGGCATCCATACTGTTGGACATTACATCGAATTATATACTTCCAATAATATTTACCAAGATGAATTTAGGATTCAAAATATACTGGCTTCCAAATGTTAAGGAACGGCATGTTTTTGTGTCTAATTTGAGAATGAAGCAACATAGAAACAACAAATTTACAGGAAATGTTCAATAATCAGTTCTTTAATGAATGCGACATAAAATGTTTCTAAAGTTCAAAACAAACATGAATTACAGCAAAAAGAATACACTCGTGGCAGAGATATCCAGTATTGCAGAAATAGTATATCACAGGTTTTGAGGAAAAATGGGGTGGTAGCATTACAAAAATTGGTTCTGATAAGGAATGTGCCCACCCCTAACTGCAATACATTGGCAGCAGCGACGTTCCATGCTGTCAATTAAGTTGTCGGTCAGTGAAGTGGGAAGAAACGACCAGACATGAAGTAACCCTTGTTCAAGCTCATCTAACGACCCTGGGTGATGGTTTAAAGCCGCAACCTGTCTCCCAAGGTAGTCCCAGAGATGGTGCATCGGATTCAGGCCTAGGGATTGAGCTGGCCAGTCCATCCGATCCATACCGTGACCCTCAAGGTATTCATCAGCAACCCGAGCTCGGTGCGGTCGCGCATTGTCGTCCATCAAAAGAAATCCAGGACCGCAGCGGCATATGGGCAGATATATTGATCAAGGGTCTCGATATCTCACACCGGTCAAAGTTCCTCCATGGAGCACATGTGACCACCGAGAGAAATCGCAGCCCATACCATTATTCCACCACGTCTGTTACTGTGTCTTTCCACAATGTGAGATTGGTTGTATCTTGTGCTTTGTTCCCTCCAATCAGTTTACGACCTGAATCACTCCTCAGTGTGAACCTGGACACGTCTGTGAAGAGAATAGACGCTCATTGTTGACTGGTCTAGGAGACGTGTTCTCTTGCTCAACATAAACAGGCACCTCTGTGTCCTCGGGTCTTGGGGACGCAAACAATTGGTCGTCTTGCATGCAGACCTGTATTGTGCAAGCGTCTGTGCACTGTAGTAGCTGAGATTCTCGTTTCTGTTGCCACTAAATGATCTGCCAGGAGCTGAGGCACAGTAATGTTACTCCTTCTTTCGGCCGAAAGAGCTAAATAACGGTCTCCCGCAAGTGTAACTCTAGGTCTGCCTGGAATATATCTTCTAGACACGCAATCCTTGTATTCAAACTGGTTCTATAGTCGGTGGACAGTACAATGTTTTTCATTTTCCTCCACCTCCTATATAAGTATTCATTTCTATAAAATAAAAGTGGTAACTATTGTTTTTGTAAATATTTTCTTAAACTCCATTACTGTTATGCATATGAACTGTGAATTTAAACGTTACTGACATTTTTGTAATGGTGAGCTTTGAAAAACATGCCGTTCTTTAACTTTTGGAGGGCAGTGTACTTTTGATAATCAATAAATTTGCATCTAAGCAATATAACTTGTATTAAAAAGACTGTATCTTTTGATAATGCAAGCGGTGGAATATTAACTTCCAGGCTAAAATTAATAAACTAATTAATTACTAATTTGCATATAAGCATGTCACATGAAAGAGTTCTGAACCTTGCACTAATAGCAATCGAAAAGTGATGTTCCAGATAAGACATAAAAGAAATAATTCCCATTTTCTCTCATCTAAAATGTAGAAAAATAAAAAGTCAGATTAATATTACTCTTTAATTAAAAAATAGGTTCATTATATTTTTAATTAATTATTTTGTAGAGTTTTACTTTAATTTTCTAATAGTTATTTTTATTTTGGAACAAGCTTTTCCTTTACCTTCTAGTTTCTTACCTACGTTTCCCTGCCAGAATGAGTTTTAAATATTACGATTTGGTGCAAATAAGATAGAAACGAATATTTAAGCTGAAGTCTGAGTTAACTTCAGTAGGAAAGCTTATTCTTCTTTTCGGCCACGTTGGTGCTATTAGTTTAAGCTTGCTGTTCTAAGACCGCACTTAATACGTGCCTGCTAGTCTACGCCGGTGATCCTTAAGGTAATGGCCTTAAGGATTGCGAGTTGATTCTGTGCAGTTTCGGCTGATTAAATTCACCTAGTTTAGTTTTATATTTTCTATCGTGAGTTAAAGCCCAAGAAAGGCCATCTATAAATTTATTTTGAGTTAAAATAAAAGGGTTTTTAACCCTTTTTGGACTTGTTACTTACGCTACAAGAACTCAGCGAATAGTCGCTACATAGTTCTACCTGTATTCTAGCTGCCAAAGAACTGTATTTTAGCTAGGATATTACAGTTTTTAATTAGAATATAATTTAATCGTTTAAAATATGCTTTTGGTTAAATTATGCTCTATAACTCAAAGAAAATGGGAAAAGGAAACTAATGAAGAGCGCTCTTCATATTCGTAAGTGGGTGCCAAACATTTTAGTCTCGACCTGCTGACAAGCGCTGAGATGACAAAGATCTAGAGTTGGAACTTCTTGCGGTACGTGGCTACAAGTATTTGGACGATGTGATTCAAAATTTAGAAGAAAGTATAATGAAGAAGTAGCAGTGGAAGTAGTTGACAGATGTCACCGACAACCATGATGAATTTTCCAAAACCGAACTTGAATAAAATTTGAAGAATATTTCAGATGTGAAAGGTTTTGCAGCTTCGACTGAATTGTATCGCTGTGTTCATAAAAGATAAGCTTCATTTGTTTCTTTGCGTGGAGCTTCGTATAAAGATTTTGAGTTTAAATCATGGAGATTTACGTTCTAAAACATAGAGATGTTGAGCGGTATTTAATTTAACAGGCTTCTCCAAACAGAGTAAATGTCACAGTTACTTCTTAAATATGGTCTAGTATTCATTGTAGTATCTATATAATTAATATTTTTTAAGAATGAATAAAATATGTTTTTATACCTATTTTAAAACTGAAGGAAGGTGTTTTATCTGCC